CATTACTGAATAAAAATAGGAATATTCAATTGACAAGGTTTCTTCTATTATTAGTAATCACAAATAAAGACGAAAATTTATACGTGTATATATACTTAAACATTGAGAAAACAAAATGTAAGCGATGTATAGAATGTATCATCTATTTATACTAGCGTTCGGCAACAGAATACAGAACGAAAAAAAGACAATAGTTTTAGTCAATACATATTATATGTGATATATAGCGCAACTATTCTCTAATGTGGATAAAAAAGAAATTAGAAATTAGCTTTCCTTTTTCATAGAACAGAGAAAAGCTATGTTATTGTAATACATTCAAGATTTTCTCGAATAATCCAATTAGTTACAAAGTTTATGATTTCGGTTTGAAAAGTACCTTATTTTATATCATGATTAGGCCATAAAAAAGGATTATTGCTTACTCAAACATAGAATATAGTCGTGAGACTATCGTAGAACACTTTAATTTTAATTTTTGTAGGGAAAAACGATTCTAAAAATTTTTGTCCCTTTTCGGCAGGATGTTGCCAAATGGCAACATAATTGAATTTTATAATCCTGGCACAATCAGTAATTCGTATTAAGAGTGTTATAAACAGCAACTGTACCAAGGAAAATGATCAACTAGTCATATCTGACATTAGGTATTTCAGGTTGCAGGAAAATATATTATAAGGATTCAGCTACACTTTAGGGGCCTTACTTGATGACTGAGTCAATACTACAGAAAGAAATTTTTTAAACCTCTATGATACCCGATTGACGTCGAAATCTATTACGGTAATTATCAAATTATCAAAACAATATATGGCATTACTTTAAGAGAGCCTTTCGTCATATATTGACTGAATATTGCCAAATGGCAACATCCGGCTGGAAAGAGTTAATTAAAATCGAGTATCCAAAAAACAATCGATTAACAATGAAGAATAGATGAGAGTTGCTTAGAAAGGAATGATAGATTTGGATCCATGAAGAACCTATTGTAATGGAATTCCAAGGAAGGACATAATCGATTTTAATCAAATTCATAAACGTAAAAGAATCGTTTGAAATCTGAGTTTTTTGTCGTAGTTTTTTGATGCATGGGTTATATCAATGCTTATTTATACATATCATTTTAATTATTATTCTAGCCATTCACTACTATGGAAGAAGTTCGTCCTTTTACTAGGTATTCTTGTTTGGTTTTATATAATTTCAACGACTGTATTGCCATTCTTCTTGGATAGCAAGCCAATGAAAATAATTCGTCAAGGTACATGATTTTGTATTTGATTATTCGAAGACAATATTGAATTTTATCTTTAAATAACAGATAATGATCGTTGGTGTCTGACCCTATATTGCATCAAATCAGGTTAGATGTTTTACGATGAAAATAAATATTATTTTATCTTTTTAGCTAATTACTTACTCGAGAGTATGAATGAGACTGTCGAACCATGTGAAAACGTTTACGAGTTTACCTGTGGTAGATGGCTGAAAAACACAAAAATACCAGATGATGGTCTGTTCTTTTATTAGATGATTAATTCATTGAATTAATTCTATTGATAAATCATAGTTAGAAATCAAGATTCATTTCAAATGATGCAAGATCAATTGGACAACATTCTTATCAGTAAAGGTTGTTATTCATATCGTTTAATTACTTTTGCAGTCTTTGTAGATCTTCTTTCTTTCTTACCGTCGAATAAAACTAATGAGCCTAAAGCAATTACCAACGTTCGTCGCCTATATGCTTCTTGTATTAATGAAAATGCTATCGAAAGGACTAGTGTTAATGTAATACTTTCATTTATCAATACAGAACTTGGTGGATGGCCTATTTTACAAGGTTCAACATGGAACTATAGCACATTTGACTTTTCTCGTCTACTACTTAAACTACACGAATATAATAAAGATGTTATCTACCATATAAACACAAAAATTGATATGATAAACTCGTCCGTTTATTGTATTCGAGTAAGAAAAGTAGTTATGTACTGAATAGGATCAAAGATCCTCATGCTTTAGATTGGACAAAGTGATCTTGGTTTAGAACATCGCAATTACTATCTTAAAGAGAATAGAGTTACTAAAGCTTATCAAAGTTTTATGCGAAACGTGGCTCTCGAATTGACTAATTTCACGTCAATGATTGACAAAGATGTTACTGATATATTCGAATTCGAAAAAAAGATTGCCAAAGTAATTTTCTATCTTCTAGTAGATATTTTTTATCTCGATTCTCCAAAAACAGTATCATTCGACAACAGATGAACAGCGTGCTCGACTTTTTGAAAATATCCGCACAACAATTGCTAATCTTTCTCAAACAGTCAATACCAATGTGAGTCTGTCTCTTTCTCAATCTTTTTGACTTGCAAAGTCTTCCTCATTTAGTTTGACTTTACCAATTATCTTCGTCGTGCATATCTATTGGCAAATGTGACCCTCGTTGATACAGATATAGTGTTCATGAGCGAAATCGATTTTGTACGAAATGTATCATTGATTATTGATCAAGAGTCACCACGTACATTACAAAATTATATTATATGGCGTTTCATAATGAGTCAAATTGACAATATGCCTAACAGATTTCGCAGTATCAAACAAGAATTCAATAAAATATTTCGAGAAATCACTACTGAACGACCACGTACTATCACATGTGCGACTTACGTTAATAACAATATGGGATTTGCTGTTTCGAAACTTTATATCAATAAATACATTGACAAAGATGCTCGCAATCAAGTATTATAACAATAGTTCATAATATCTCTCTCTGTCTTTTATTCTCTGATAGGCCCTCGAAATGATGAAGAATATTCGAAATGTTTTTATTGATCTGCTCAATCAATCCATATGGATGGATTCTGTCTCAAAAAGCA